AGCAGGTCTTCACCAAAAACAAACATATGTGATTTGATTCACCTTTGAGAGGTAATTTTCAGGCTGTGTACCAGCTTCTGCATAAGCTCACTGTTTTTTTCAAAAGCATCAAAGGATCTGGTAGAAAACCCCATCTCCAGAACGCTGAGCCTGCTCCAGGAACATGCAGGAATGGAGCATGTTGAAGGCCACCAAACCAGCACCCAGCCCTGGACAGTATCGGGCACTTCATGGACTGAGCTGATGGGTAAGCTGGAGCAGTACTCACTGCCAACATACCTCAGCTCTCCAAGGGGAAATAAATATTGTCTGTTTGTGTTGCCATTCTTTTCAAAGAAACCTTTATTATTGAAGGTCTTATCCCTTCCCCCGCTCCCTCCCCCCCCCAAAAAAAAAAACACAAAAACCATGGTTAGAGTTTCTTTTTTCCTCATTTCTGATGAGGCAGGAAACATCAGACCATGTGACTGATTTTTTTTTTTACTAATTAACCTGTCAGGCTGAAATATCAAAAATTATTTCCTTTTGATTTATAATATCTATTTGTTATTCTTCATTCAGATTAAAAAAAAAATGTATTTAGGGGGGAAAAAAAGCAGAACTCAACATTAAGCATATCTTTAGTTCAAAGTGAAGCATTCTTTTCTAGATACTTGTAGGAAACGCAGAGGGAACTTAAAGCTGGATTTTCTGGGGCTTGGTAATAATGGTGATGTTCTCTTACCCAAGACTTCGGGGATTAAATTCAGTCACTCAGAATATGAGAGATCCAGACATGACTTTTTTTTCCTGTGCCCAGCAGGAAGTAGGACCATTAGTCCTAATTCATAGGAAAGTGTTCCATCCACTAGGCTATAAAAGGAAATGACACCCACCCCCCCCCATACTCTCCTACCTTTTTGCTATCAACAAAACTATTGCCACACTGTTTTCAGAGGACGCAGCATCTCAGCGAAGAGACCAGCCATCTGAAACACAGCTGCACAGTACTCCCTGAAGAGATTATGCCTAATGAAGACTCTGGAAGACAATTTTACAGGTCATTTCAAGCAAGATAGTTAAGGCTGGATATAAAAATGATGTTATGCCAATAGCAGAAACTGTCAAATTGTAGGCAGAAAAGAAACTATTAAACATCTTATTTAACAAAGAAAATGTTTTATAGTATGTATTGGGTTTGATAGTGCCGAGAAACACTTGATCTGAAAAATCACAGAAGCTGAGAAATAATCTCTGCCTCAAGGCAGTTATGAACATCAGAGTCCTTTTTTCCCCTGTTTTCATCTGATAATTTGTGTGCCTCATTTACTTTACAACTGACGTTTTAATGCATAATTGTCCTTCCTCACGTGTATAAGAAAATATATTTATTTTTCACAATGCAAAATATTTCAAAGAATAAATAAGCAATATAACCAGATGTCTGATTGAATTAGTGTATTCAAACTAGCTTAGTGCCCTGACAATCTGTTCTTCAATAACATTTTTTCAGCAGGGAAGTTTACATACAAGTACTATCACTTTCAAATCCCACTGCACACCAGCACTCAGATTTGGGGTTAGACCTTAAATTGCACTTTCCATCCTGTTTTAAACTACAAAACCGGGCTCCTTACCAATTAAATACTTGCACAAGAGGAAAAAAAAAATGTATCTAAGTTTTTGTATTTTAGGAGGCAATCTTCTGACACATATGTCGCATTGTATTTTTGGATACATTAGGGGCAAGACGATGAGTAGATGGAAAAGGACTGCTAGAAAGAAAGAGTTTACTTGCATATCATTTCTAATATACATTTATTCAGTTCTTAAAAGGCAACCATTTAATTACAAATTCTGCAAATAGCCTGAAGTGTGTTTTTCCTACCAAAGGTTCTGAATTTAAAAGAAAAGCAAGATTTTTTCAGCACAAAATCCTATTGAAATTCCACTTTGCACCATAAAGCAAACAAAGGTGAGAGTCTTCTGTCCACTTACTGCCAATATACTGTGTCCCCCTACCTGGCTGAGCCCCAGGGACATTGCTGAAGTCTTGTTTGCAGCAAAGGCAGCAGCTACCTCAGAGACAGTAAAGCTGTTCTTCAGGAAGAGTGGTACTGAACTCATACTCATTCGATATGATGCACATGGTTAAACACAAGCACTGAAACTCAAAGAAAGGCTCAAATATATAAGTCTGTAAGGTCTCTTGCTACTCACAGAGTTGGTTAACATTGCAAGGTCAGTATTTCAAATACATTTCCAATTTGGAGGTAATTTAATATTTAAGCACACTTCTCCTGGTTTGAGGTAAAACAGAACCAATTTACTGCCTCAGCCTTAACAGAATTAACCCAGAGCTGCTGAATTCATTGACACAACATCAAGCCAGCCAGTTTGATCACTGACAATTATTCTGATTTTTAATGTGACTATGCTATTTTACAATTAATGAATCATCTGAAAAAATCATCTGGGGGAAAAAAAAAAGGCAAAGAGTGTCTTTTATTGAACAGACAATTATTTGTTGTTATAAAGGGACTGTATATCAAGGCTCAGGAGTAACACCACTGAACTAAAGGAGTAGTTTGATGGTTTAGGGCTTTAGCTATAAATACAAGAAATAGTTCTCTTAAAATGCTTATTTTAGAATCCAGCCACTACACCACTTAAAGGCAGCCACAAAACAACATATGAAAAACATGTTCTACATGCAATAACGTCAGCATTAGCACTAAATCACCACTTGAGGAAAAGTGTTCCAGACTACTTTTCAAACGACAGTCACATGCCATATTACACCAACAAGTGTGTTACCCTCCCAGTAATGTTACGGAGGAGGTACACTTCAGCTTATTTTGGACATCAGTTATACTCTGCATTACTCTTCCGCATTAATCACCATCATAGAAGATGTTCCACATGCAAAGGGTGCCTAACATTTTCCAGTGAGTTTGAAAAAAAAATATCCTTAGCAATTGGATATATATATATATAAATATATCTATATATATATTTATATGTCCAAACTAATGACTCCTGGATGAAAAGATAGATCTGCAAAATGTACCTGAAACATGATGTAGGTGAAATTTAGGCAGGAAAGTTCAAAACCTATGTATAGTAATCACCATACCCTGGAGGAGCCTATATTCACTGCATTCATCCCTGCAAGCCGGGGAAGTTCTTGAAGCAGTTGCTTGTAGGCATTGGCTATGAGTGCCTGTGAAGTGGCTTCTTTCCACAACCAAAGAAGCCCCAAATGACAGCTTCCCCATACCTACCATGCATCTAAACACTAAACACTGCCTGCTAAAGCACCCGTTATAGTAACGATTATATACATTTGAGCAGATGTACTTCCTCAAATTTATACCCACCACACATATCAGGTAGCTTCTGTCCATTCTCTCAAGGACTGATGGAAGTGCTCTCCATCAGGGAGGGACTGCAGGGTCGTGGACCTACCTGTACCACAGAATCAGTCATCTAAGGCCTTGACATGAAGTAATTGGAGATAAATTCATGCATTTAGTGCTACCCTAGTTCTATAAAGCAACTTGACCAGGATGTAGGCTTTCCTTATTGCAACCTTCAGATGATGAGAGCTAATCTCCACAACTGTGTGCTTGACCAAGAGCTGCTAACACAGGCTTATACTGCTGAAGTAAATATCGGCACTTGCAGATTTTGTTTTAAGAGATGCTTTGAATCCCTTATGCAGGATGTATCCTCTCGTAGCTGCACAACCATTCTGAATGAGAGCACAGCAAAGGAGCCTCAGAATTGCCATATTAGTTCACAGCTGAAGTCTGCTAGTCATAACCGATCTCTGAACTAGCCATCATGAGGTTTTTGCCTTCTTTGGAAGGCATTCATTAAGACAGATATATTCATATGTTTTGAGATGGGTTTTAAGTCCATTGTGCAATAATGTATGCTTTTACAGCTACGTGAGCATACTGAATTAGTACTCTACAAAGACACTTAGGAATAGCAATACGGCAGAAAATTTTGTAAACTCTGGTTATTCTTAACAGAGTTTATAAATAATCAAACAGTGTGAGTGTTGCCAGTTTCCTTACTATTATTCCTTTCCTACATCCACGTAGTCAGCAAGTGGCTGGTAACTTCCTCGTAGATAAAGGAGGAAAAATCAGGAGAGGTTTATAACTGGAATTTACCAGTTAAGCAAGAAAACACAATTTTTACAAGACAAAATACACATCTGATAATCACTTGAGATTTTAGGACTCATCTCGCATTGCTTAATACCCATTTTCCCCCTCTGTGGGATAGCTTCTCCTCAGAAGCATTAACAAGTGGTAATTACAGGAGTCATGCTGACAACACAGAGCAGGAGGGACACCGTCAGCACCGAATGTCAACAGACCTGGATGTTAAGAACCGCGGTCCCTGGAACCTTTACAATTTATGTTTTATTTAGTTTTTTATTGCATGCGTTATTACACCCTGCTACTTTAAATGATAACTACCCGGCGAAACTTAAGAGAATTAAATTACACGGGTCTGCCGTGATTTTGACAGAAGGCAGCAATGAAAGGATTATGGTTTTAGGAACCCGGCTGCGATGTGCGCTCTCCGGGGGAGAAACCGCCCGCGGGAGTTCAGATTTCTGTAACTCTATTAAACCCGTCGGGTCCCGGCAGGTTTAAGGAAACCCGACGTCTCCCGCCCCGCTCTCCACAGCGACCCGGAGCCGCCCCTCACGGCGGGGCAGGTACCGCGGCCCGCCCTGGGCGGGAGCCCTCTGCCTGCCGGGCCGGGGGTGCCGCCCCCCCGCCGACACCCACCGCCCCGCTCCTCCACCGCGGACACACGACCGAGCCCGCACCGCGGCTCCTCGCCTCCGGGGGTCCCGCCGCGGGATCTCTCCCAGCCACAGCCCGGTCGGGCGCCTCCGGCCGGTCTCCCCGACCCGTCCCGCCGCCGCCTCTCCCCGGCGCTCCGGTCCCCTCAGGGAGGGACCCCCCCCCCGCCCCGGGGCCGGCGGGACTCACACGGGGTAGAAGGCGTAGGGCGGCAGGGCGCTCTCCTCGCAGGGCTCCGCGTCCAGCAGCAGGTAGTCCTGGCTGTCGTTCCGCCGGGCGCCGGCCGCCGGGGAGCTGCTCTTCCGCGGGGCGTAGGGCTGCGCCTGGCTCATGTTGGCCCGCGGCTGAGGCGCCCGGACGCGGCGGCGGCGGCGG